CAGTTTCAGACAATCCTTGTTAAAACTTAACCCATTCGCTAACTGAGAGAGCAGATTGACTGACCGATCAAAACGTCTTTCTACCATTCTTCTAACGTGAAGTAATGGTAAATATCTGAAGACAATGATGGTCCTGACTGTGTGAACTTTAGTCTGATATAAAACATCACTAGGATGGGAGATATGCTAGACTAAAGTCTGGTTTTTGTTGATGTTTATCATTTAAACGTATCCACATTCTTATAGAAATCCAAGCTATCACTGAAATCACAGTCTGCATCAGAAATGTTACCGTTAAGATAACCAAACCGCAGATAAATCGCTTTTCAACTGGGTTCAAGTTGACATGGCAACTTATATTTGTGAATCAAGCTTAAATATTTGATTTTTTCCTGGTACACAAATGAGCATTTCTGAAGACAACAATAATACTAAAAGTAAAGCAAGTAACGCAAAGGTATGACGTTCATGTTTGTATTGTGAGTATTAAATACTCCCCCTAAGTATTCAAATATCGGAAATAGCAGATACGTCTTGCTGACAAGTGTCAAAAAAAAACAAAATCTATTGATTTCAGAGCATCACAACTATTGCTAGTAACCTCAAAGCATCACTCCATTGAAAGTGATTGGTCATTATAAGTTTGTACACATATAATTTTCACCATTTTCAAATACTAGTCTAACTAACCTCACGTGAGTGTTTGAATAGTGCTGGAAGTGCAGAACAATTGCACTATTTTCCTTATCTGTGCTTTTTGGTTATGTTTCATCCGACCTTAAATAATGTCATTATGGGTAAAATTTGTTTTGATAAAGTCTCACAGTAATGTTTACTGATGACGTTTCGAGCACAATTTACTGTTCATAATCATATCAAGGTGATATGATTATATCAGTAAATATTACTGTATAACACTATGAGGATTTATCAAAACAAATTTTATCCATAATGGAATTATACTCTATCACAGTACACAAGTTTTATTCTTATAATCTTAAATAATGCCTTTTCATACAGACGGTCCTATAGATAAATTCGAAGAGTATGAAAATAACAGCTGAATGCAAATGACATCAACTGAGCTTTGGTAACTAGGTGAATATAATGATAAAATCTCGTGTTAAAGTTATCAATCAGTTGTTATGGGGGGGGGTCAGACAGCAAGACATATCTGCAATCTTCAGGAAGCTGATATATTCTCAAGCTTGACTCACTCACTTTCTTTCTCTCTCCATATATATATTCCTTTGAGTTCTGAGTAGAAAATACGGCTTAAAGCTTGTGCCAAGGTATTTTGGTGGCAGAAGTGTTTTTTACGGGATGGAGTTGTTAGCCCCACTCTCAAACTTACCACTTTACCGACCATACTACCGGCTAAACGAGATTTAGGAGTGCGTCAGGTGGGAGTTGTACTCAGATCACATGCTTGGTTGGTGAACATTCTATCAGCTATGTAGCATCCACACTTTTAGCTAATGACAAGTTATCTCTGAAATTGCATTATTTATCACCAAGCTAACTGCATTGTCTACTTATATTGTGGAGGTGTGATACAGACAAAGTGTTCCAACGGAATATTATTCTCATATATTATCACAGTTCAGTACTGCATTAGCAACAGAATACTACATATTTATTTGAACATTGTGTTTGTTGCTGGCGTCAGAATACTATTCCCACAGTTCAATACTAAATTAGCAACAGAATAATAAGTGCATTTGAACATTTTAATTCATTTTGTCTAATGTAAACAAAAATCACGCGCTCAGTGATTGTTTAAAGAATACAAACAAGGGGTTTGATTAAATGAAAATATACCTTGGATTCCGTGTCTTGTGTTCTGTCGTTACGATATCCCTTACAACTATCTGGAACACAATTATTAGTGCTTTCTCGTAGTCTTTCAAGATAATTTTTACCAGGGTAGGCATCATGTTTATCGTATTTTGTGTTGTGTTGCCTTGGTATGGTTAGCCAAACTAATGCTGTAAATTCAGCACTAAATTTGTTCAAAGCAATCATTAAGGCAACCTGTCTACTTACACTCCTATTTCAGCTCAAAAACGTTTTTGTGCTATATTTCGTAGTGGTATCTCTCTGTCATAAAACTGTTTCTTGTAAACTCTAGCTTAATCACTGAATTCCTGCTGTGGTTTATCATTTTATCTACGACAGAAATGAATACGCTTACTTGGTACCCAGTTCAGCTCATTAAAGCAGCTTATAGTCAGTAAATAAAGTATATAATTAAAAACAGTAGTAATAATAATTATAATAAAAGTAGTAATAATTCTTTGTTTACGCATAAATTATTTAGTGAGAATGCTTTCTTTTTCCCTATGGTACTTAATATCATGCTGCGTTTTTACAGTTCATTGATTGACATTTCAGAAAATGTATTGATTAATGATGATAAAATCGCAAGTATTATTGTTGTTATTATTATGCTCATGGACTTTTAGTGTTGAAAGTTTGCCCTGAAAGTTAGGTGTGGATTGAAAATTATTTATTGTGGGTAATCAGTTAAAATTGTGTTTTTGACAATGTCTTTGATCATGCTGCTCTATACAGCTTAATGGAGCGTTATATATTTTGTCTTTGGAAAAAACAAAACTAACAAAAACTAGAAACAAAACTAAAGAGATGCTCAAATAACCGGGTCAGATAAAGGGCTGGCTGCACCAGCAATATTTCAAACTATATGAATTACAGTTTCGGAAATTTCAAGCAGCTATGATTATATTTTCTTAACAGGCGACAAAAAATGATCAAGTCTTTTCTGATTGTTTCTCAACTGTTGTCTTAACTGAATTATATAAATAACTGAAATCTAGAAGGGATTATATATCTGGAAATGATATTAAGATCGATTGTCGGTATGCGAAACTCACTTTGACAGAGTGACTAGTCGAATTACCAGAATCAATAGGGAGAATATCATGCAAAATACTCTTGCATTTATTGATTTCAGTAAGTGTAGAAATCATATGTGATTATGAACGCTAAATTATGTTCTAAACCGTCGTCATTATATATAATACAGTATGACTGAATTTTAATGAGTTACTGGAAGACTTGAAATAAGTCTCTTTCCTAGATTTCCTATTGACCAAATCGGTGGATTAAGAAGTAGTCAGAAGTGTTTAGCGTTATATATCCTCGTAAGTTTTGTTCTACTATGACAGTAAAGTAAGCAACAACATACTAAACCAAATACTTCCACACAATGAATATTTACATAGTCTGATTAAAAATAGCAGTGTATGCACAACAGAAAAGTCAGTTGTCTCTGTATTAAGCAAAGAACTGTTGTTGTTGTTGTTGTTATTTTTCGTCTGAGAGTAACTTTCATAATCAGTGTATCTTTTTGCCATGGAAAGCCTACAACACAACAATATGATGAAGAACATTTCGTGATAAGGTAGCTTAGAGAAGAGTGAAAGAGGACTACGAGTTTTCTTCAGTTCTATGTAGTACGTTCCAACCACACGTAGACAGTAAGTTCATGTTTAAGTAACTGATAATTAACAGGTTATTCATGTCAATACAATGAATATCACTTTCCTCAAACAGTAGTAATGGGAAGGGAAGACAGGATCTATTTATTACGATTACTCAGATTTAACTACCATGTATTGGAATGTTGATTTTGTTGTTCGATATATAACAGAATCATTCTGTATTAAAATTGAGGCAACATTTAAAACATATAATGATTAGTGTTTTGCCAACATAAAATTAATATAATGAGACACATTTCACAGAAAAAATAGACAGAAAGCTTCTAGTGAATCAGTAATATTAGTGGAAGTTAATACACATGTATATCGGTGTATTTTAAATCACATGCTTCAGTGAATGACAACTTTCCAGGGGTTCTATATTTTATTCTGGTGGTCTAGTGGATTTAAAAATTGATGTCAGATGACTACTGAGCAGTTGAAATATGACTACACCAGTTACCCCGCTTACTGAAACCAGCTATTTATAGGATAATTTACCAATAGCCACCATCATGCAGCATAACTGTTATTATACTTATTCTAGCCAACATTAATTCAATCGGAATAATATTTATTGCATATATTGTATATGGAAATTATATCCAGTCCTGAATACTGTACAATTCCGTAAAGTATATCGACTTACAGACACTTTAGTAGATGACGATATATACACGAAAACACAAAAATATCAAAATATATCCCATGTATTTAATTATGTTTCAGATTTTTATAGCACATCAGAGAGACGTGTAAACAAGAGTAAAATTAGATCTTTTCAGGTGTATTTTATCATCCACTTGGTACAGCAGTGACCACACAAAGCATAGGGACCCTTACCACCTCCTTTATTAAATAACGCTTCTGCTGAAGATGTTGTCTAAATAGGCAATTGAAGCTTGGCAGTTAAGCCACCCAGCTCAGAGAACTCAGCCACGTCAAAATCACTCATCTGAGCCACATATCTTCTCTCTTATTTTAAGCTTGTCTTAATTAGGCTTTTGCAGTAATATGAAGCATAGTTGCTTCCTAATTTTCTCAAAGAATCAATTTGTCCTTCATAACTCCTGGGGTGTTAAACACAAAAACCATGTGAAGCTGTTTTTTATAAGATAACTTTTTGTACTAATTACAGGGAGTCCCGTTCAGCAAAATTAGTAGATTTGGTGAACAAACTCAAAATAAAATCACTACTTGCCTAATATTGTACCCTGTAGATGTTTGAAAGAGTACTGAGTTTAACGGCCAGCATAAAGAGCATTAGTGTTTAGCAATGAGAATACTGACTATGACAAAAAACATACTTTGTTCCTAAAATATAACAAATAAATGAACATTAAGCCAGCATGCAGTTCTTCGTGTGAGCGATTATATTTGATTGGACGTTTTTCTTTACTGCCTATTGACACATAGGGGTAGCAGAGAACAAAATAAGGTTAAACAATGTTTAGCTATTACTCATTTTTTGATATTTTCTTATACACTATATTTTAGGTTCGCTGTTGATACCGTGCAGAAGTTACAATGAAAATATGAATGCAGTTGCATTGAACACTACTCCTCCATCGTGTTTATCAGCTACATCTTCAGTTAAACGAAAAGGTTGTCAAGTTACCTTCAATCTTGATAGAAATATGTACGTTGAATATCCGTATTCTGAATCATCCACATCAACAATACAGTGTAAACGTATACCTGGTTATATAAGTTCAAGTGGAGCGGCCCCAGGAGAAGGTGACTTGGTCATTAAAACAGCACCACGAGGTTCATTCAACTGGAGTAATGAAAACGGCATCACCACAATAGCAAAACCTATTAATGGCTATCATAGTGAATATACTAAGCAAACGAATTATTTAACCAACGGTTATGGAACACGTCCACTGGTATCAAAGTATAACCGGTACTCATCTCCTCCACCACAGTGTACTTCGAACTATGATTCTGATAATGGTACTACTAATAGCAACAATAATAACAACGGTAGTCATTACACATCAACTGAATGTTCAACACAAAATGGTCATACGTCATCTAAACCAGAAATTCGTTTTATTGACACAACTATTGGACAAATACACAATTCTTTTGCAGATAGCGTGAACAGTACAAATGGGAGTAAACCACCAGTGTCTACAAAGTCGATAAACAATTTGAAGTCAATCTTATCAAAACCAACTTTTCGTTATGGCAGAAATACTACTACCAATTTAAATAGTAGTAAACAACTCTATAGACAAATTGAACAGCTGCAGGGACAAGACACCATAGATGTAAGACAGTGTCCAGCAATTGACATTTTAAGTCGTAGGTGTTCACTTTCTTCCTAGCTTTCCGCGTTATTTTCTTCTTGTAGAAAATAAAGTCTGAGTTTTCGATTAAGTACTATAACACTTCGTTTGGAAAGTAGATAACACTCAGAGTTTCGAAAAATTTATTTACCTCCACGTCCACATATACACACACCCCGCAATCCGATATCCGTCACCAGACGAAAGTCATTCAAATGCGTGTTTATGTAAATACGATTTATTACCAATTATTTATTCTTTAAATCTACTACTAAATCAAAATGATTTCTTTTTGACTTTCCAAACTATAAGTTATGTGAAACAGACAGCTACAAGCCGAAATGAGGAAAAAGAATAAATTAATTGGTGAACATTTTCTTGTTGTTATTGTCCTAATGGGGTGTTCCTCTAGTACTGTGATATATTTTGACGTTGTATATTTAACTGAATGAAGATCTTTAGAAAAGTGTGCTTCTTTTTATCTTTTACTGGTTTCATTTTCGTTTCCCTCTCAGAAAGTTTCCCTGAAATTGGTTCGTGAATGTATACACACTGCTACTTTTAGTCGCCTAATTTCCCTCTTTTTGCTTAAAGGTGGATATTTATTTTGATCACAAAGCTATTTAAATACCGTTAATGTATTATGATAGAAAATACCTTCATGAAAAATACTATTTACAATATTATTCTTATTTACACACTTCTATTAGTCTTGTGCAAAAAAAAATCAGATTTTAAATAAATTAAAAAGATGCTTTGCATTGAGTGCTTTTTCCTACCTTTCCTCAGTCCCAAAACACCGAAACTAGCGTAAGAAAACACATCGGAGATTCATCACTACATCTATCTCTGAGAGTCAGTCTGTGCTATTATGAAATAAGAGAAGGTTTAATAAGGAATGCAAACAAGCAAATGTGGATTATCAGACTACGCAATACACTTCAAACTCGTATATACTGCTTTAAGTAACAAACTTTTCTTAGCCATTTATGATAACACTTAAAGGGGTGAGATAGGTGTATAATTCTGTACAAAATCTACCGAAGTCTAGATTGGTTGACTCCGATCCCAACAGATATCTGCTACCTTGACGTGGTGGTCAGGCTTGCATATCACAATGACCCAACAAGCTACACTGGAGGTCTTACTATGCCAGGAAGGTTGTTAGAATGGAGATTAGACTAAAAGCAGTTAACGGCATAGTGTAAGAATTTTTTACACTATGCTGGGGAACAGGGATGTAACAGCAGTAAGGTGTTTCCCTCAGATGACCAGAATGGTAACCAGTTAGGATGTCTCTCCATTCTGGAGAGAGGGGGTTAGAAACGGTAGACCCGACAATTCTACATCCCGACTTACCCTACAGTGGTCCGTCCGTAACCGGCGGTAAGCTACTGATACGGAAACAAACCAAAGAGCTAGTTCAGACACACAGTGTGTGACCGGCGTCAAGTAGTTGTCCCCTGGGCTCTGCGGTCACGCAACACTCTCTGTTTCAGGTTCCCCAAGAATCAATCAACTTCCACGGTGTGGGTAGCCGGAAAGTAACAACCGCCCACACACTTCCAAAAGCACACGAAGCCTTCCTGAACATCATTCTCCTTTACCCACATCACCCTCATCATCTTTCCTCCCGACTATAGTCGACACTATTCTTCAGGACAGGGAGTCATCTTCACTTCACTCTGTGACCACAAACAACGATGAGAACCATAGAAACACCCCCAACAGCCTCTTAAAGCCACGTCGCCAACTTCATTTAGGAGCGTTCGACGTTAGGACACTCTGCCAAATCGGACAACAGGAATCACTAGCAAGAACTCTAGCGTCTCGAGTCATTGATTTATGTTGTGTCTCGGAGATATGCATACAAGATCAGAGTGTGGTCATTCCCTTAACCTCACCGGTCAACAAGGTGAATCTTCAAAATCCACTTTGAGGGTGTCAGGAGACTCCTCACCTAGTTCGCGAGGACTCACAGGTGTAGGGATAGCAATGAGTGTTAGGGCAGAAAAGTCACTTCTTGACTGGATCCCAGTAGATAGTCGTGTGTGTGTGCAGCCCGTTTGAATGGGTCCGTTAGAAGGAAGGACGGTGTTACCCGTCCTTCTTTGTCTTTTCGTAGTCTCCGCTTACACCAGAACAGACTGCATTCCAGATGAACTGAAGGATGATTTCTACCTAGAACTGTCTAATTTGCTGCAAAAAGTAAGACGTTCAGATATTATAGTGGTTTCAGCAGGCGACTTCAATGCCCAAGTAGGGAAGTTGTGCCAGGCTGAGAAGCATGTAGGTGGGACATACGGAGTTTCCCACCGACAACGGTGATTGTCTTCTACAGTTCTGCTCAGATAATCATCTGTTCCTAGTCAGAACTAACTTTAGGCATAAAGACAGACTTGTGTACCCTGGCGACCCCTATCAACAAATCAACCCTGGACTCAGATAGACCACATAACGATACGGTATCGTTGGTGAGGGTCAATAGAAAAGTGCCGATCCTTTCGGAACACATGCGTAGACTCCGATCATACCCTCGTTCGCGCACGTTTATGTCTACGTTCAAACGGACATAAAATGTTGGCAGCCAAGTAGTTACGTCCCCAACTAGATCGAGATAGATACTGAGTCCCTATTCAAGGAAGAAATGGCGAAACGAGTATCTGAGGTAGCATAGCACAACATACAGTTAGTTGTAGACACAGCTGTAAAAGCTGTTAACATCCTGAAACCTAGTTAGTAAGAGCCATTGGATATCTACCACCTCATCCGAACTGATCGACGCAAAAAGACTGATTCCGGCGGGCTCCGAATTTGATGAGAAGCGAAAACTCCTCAAACGCATACTACCACGAAGTCTTCACAACGACTTTGAACAGTGGTGGGTGACGGAGGCGCAAGAGATGGAAAAGTCAACGGCGATTGGTAACACCAGACAACTATTTAGGCTTATCAGGGAGACAGGTGGTAAAAGGCAAACGATAAGTGAAAAATTCTCTGAGAAAAATGGCACCATAATTAGCTCCCAGGATAGATGACTAGGACATTGGAAAGAACACTCTGAGGAGCAACTTAATTGGCCTACAACCTCACTCAACATACCGAACATCCAACACTTCGCTCAATGGAATATAGACACAGATCCTTTGTTCCAACTGAGGTTACTAAACCTGTCACTAGTCTGAAACGAGGGAAAGCTGCAGGACCCGAGGGAATGACTCCAGAGGTATGTGATTACGGTGGAGACAATTTATACTCTCTGTGTTAACCAAGGTGTTAGGCAGCATTTATGAACCAGAGATAATCCCGTCGGGTTGATGTAAGTCATTGATTATCCCGATATACAAGAAGGCAGACAAGTATCCTCTGCCTGGATTCATCATGGAACTTGGCACCGAAGTGCAGCAGTTCGAGTTGCCACGTTCCAAATAGCACACAAAGGTAGACAAGAAGATGAGTGAAGAGAATCAATACAGTCTGACAAGTATAAGAGTGAAACAGAATGGGTAATGGTAGAAAGGAATATGAAAGATTACAGAGACTAAATACATCTGCGCCATTGACAATGATTTTGAGCCATGTCACCTATTGTCCCCAGCCATTGATTCCTAGAGTCCCGAGGGCCCCAACCCGGACGTCTGCATCTCCCTACCTGACTCATTTTAACTGTCAAGGATTTCATGTATTGATGCCATGTTTTTGTTTGACCACCACTTACTCTTTTCCAACCTGCACCTATATCAGCTAGTAATGCCCGTCGGGGGAGGCGATGGTTAGGCATGCGCAGCACGTGAACTAGCCATCTCAATCTATGTAACTTAATAGCCTCGTCGATTGATTTTCCCTCTTTGCCCAACACTCTACGCCTGTATCCTGTGGTAATCATAGGACGATTAGCTTGACTAATGTGGTATCTAAAGTTCCAAGCTCAATAATTATGTGTAGATTAAGCGGTTCACAGGAGGAACAAACATGCGAGAATCAGCCAGGCTTTAAACCAAGAAGAGAGTTTATTGATCATATATTTACCCTCCCACAGATTCCAGAACATAGGCATACTTACCAGCGTCCAACAATCGCTATATTTCTTGCTTAAAGGCGGAATTCGATTCTGTCAACCGAGAGGGACTCTGGTGATACTTGGCTGTAAAAGGAATCCCGAGAAAATACATTGCACTGATCAAGGGACTCAATCTATTCGAACTCACATAGTTAGCCAGGTGAGAGTTTACGGGGAGTTGTCATCCTAAGTGGTGACAACTAGTGGTGTCCGTCAGGGATGCACACTATCCCCGTTTCTATTCAATTTCATCATAGATATACCCATAGAATTAACCCTAACTCACTTCAGTGATTCAGCGATTGACTCGTTACCATTAGGAAATAATATTCTCATTGACTTATAATATGCATATGATATAGTCCTCCCATCTGGGTGAAGACGCTGACAAAATGCAGTCTTCTGAACGCTTTGAGCTGCAGTCTGTGAATGTTTGGTATGAGATTCGCTCCTGTCAAATGTAAGATGATGCTGCAGGGCTGAAGTACATTGGCTCCTAGCTAAGAAATAGGGAGTAAAGCGGTGGAGGACGTTGACCGCTTCACTTATTTGGGAGGTTGCATCAGCCAGCCCAACGGGTTGATCACTGACGAAATCTCGGCACAGAAACAGAAGGTTCGTTTGACATACACCATCTCTGGCGTATTTCAATTATAGCGGAGACTGTGAAAAGCCAATCACGTTTTTTAGATTTCTTGTTGATATCTTCTCTTTTAATTTTGACTGTGTGTGCGGAACGATTTCTTTCACTGGATTTCTTTGAGATGTAATACTTTTATCTGCTATATTCCACACGAGTGTAGCAGTTATGGCTTAATCATAGTGGCGGTAATCTACCAGCCGAGTTTATACCGCACGCTAACTATCAACATTGGAATTGACAAGTGAAATAAAACACAGCTTCTGACGTATCACACTAGTTTTCGCCCAGTGATGTTTTAATTTCTTCTACGTAAATAAAGTACGTGGTTAAGCGTTCTCTTTGATAAAGGCCCACACATAAACTTCTCAACTTTCTCTCATTTCTACACTATTACACAGTAATTTTTCAAAAATAATTCAGACTAAACTCCATTACGTCAGAAAGATTAACATGATTCACTCTTTGGAGGTCGGATTTTGAGGACAAGTCTCTTTGATTCTTACTTGTTAGACTAAAACACTACAGGCATTTTCACCATTGAACTCAATGGATAAACAGTTTACAGGCCATTTATCCGTATGACAACTGAGACCTTGTGGCTTATTACGCAAAAAGCCTCGCTAGTTAATCGAACAAACAAACTGCTACATCATGTAAGCAGTTAAACTGTAAACATAATTTAAGTACAGACTGACCATTTTCACTACAGCTCAACAGTCTAGCTGCTCGAATCTCAACTACTATGTGACTATTGCCTACCAGGGTATTGGCAGCAAGATGCTTTAAGTAACCTTTATGGAATAGGTGTGTATCATTGTATAATGCATATTATTCTTGAGGAACCTTTTTCCTTTAGGAACACTTTTAGGTACCAAAAGTGAATAGGCGTAAAAGACACACTTTTATTGTGCCAACGCGATTAATCTCGTTAATCATCCTAGCGCAAACTAATTTTCCACACACTTTCTGTCGTAACACAATTCTCCACTTTAAGGTAAACGAAGTATATTTTCTCTTATACCTGATAATATTAGTACAATAGTGATGCAACCATAGAAAATATCACAAGAACACTCAGTTTTCAATCTCCTTCTACACCCATGTTTTCATTTTCATAAAATCACAGAAATCCACTGGACGGTGGCAACCAAAGATAGTTCCGTTCCGCTTCGAAAAAAAGCTATACCTAATGAGGAAAAACTGTTTCCAGTAATAATCTACTTACAAACAAGAAGCAAACTGTTAAAGATATCATACTCTGATCTTGTTTTTCCTACCTAACATCATTAACAATTTTCTGTCAAATTAGTCGGGGGACAAGAACTTCTAAAATATTGAGTTATAGAGAAAGCAGACCAAATCTCAATTCAGACTGACCTTGTAAGAAGTCTTTGTTGGTTTACTTTTTTTTAACAAGATTAAGTTCATTTTCACGCATTTTCGAGTCAATTCGGTTTTTATTAACGTATTTGTCACGTGTAATCACGACTTTGTCATACTGTCTGAATACCTCTCTCTCTCCTTCACACGATTATGTAAACACCTTTACTCAGATCTGGTTTATCCCTCTAATTTGAGTCTATACCTCCTCTTGTTTCTCAAGAATGCTCCTAATTCGATAACAATTCCAGCATACTAATATTCTCTATACTTCAGAATACTGTCTGACTCTTTTCTTCTCTACTGTTTAAAACATGAAATAACCCCTATTTCAAGTTCGTCAATCAAAGAGATAGTGAAGTTGAAATGATGAAGTGGCTACGTCATGTATTACTCATTCTGAGACATCGTCTTACTTGACGAACAATTTTCAGTAATGGAGGGTTATTTTGATTAGACAAAAACAGCTCAGTAACTCATGAAGTCATTGACTGTTGGTTTGAGACAGGTAGCTTGTAGACTGCCTATTCAAGGTCCTCAAGATGCTTTGAATCAATAATCGGAGACCTCTTAGTGATATTACTCAAGATCGTCTGTTTATTCTTTAACCGTCACCTCCGATATTACCCAAATCTTCATTTCTTGTCTTATTATTGCTTCTCCAACACATTGTCTGTAGTAGCTTCAATTACGTTACTTTGCTTTTTATTCGTGTTTTATCAAACTTCGATAAGTTGAACTGCTACAATTTTGAGCCAAGTCGCAAACTGATAATAATTCAGTTTAGTCCAATTCCATCGTCATTACGCAATCGCATCTCTAAAAACTGTTCTTAGGTCACTGTATCAGTGAAGACAGTGTCCTCCCTACTGTCCAGCAATATATAATCACTTTTTAGTATATATATATATATAAAGGTGACTTTGTAGACAAAGAAAATTCTGTTCTCCGTATTTCCTTGTTTCTTTTTGTCATAAGATGAATTCACCTTATCTTATAACCAGAACTGGCACAATAATGGTAACTTCCAAGTTGCTATCTATCTGACAGTCTTCAACTCGTGAATCATACTTTCGGTTTGCCCTACTTAATTTAACTGAATCAGACACAAAGTGTACAGCCCACTGGCATCAAAACATTTTTCAAGCGCACTAGTTGGTACTATCAAAGTCCCATTTCATTTTATGAAAAGTATTTGTTTAGCATCACGGAAAATTTTTAAGATAAGAAATAAATAGAATAACAAAAAATAGAAATAGCATACATCAAAGTCAGTATGGTGAATGATGCTTTTTGTGTTTGCTTTTCCTTTCTTTATGCTTTCTATGATGCTTTTTAGATGACTTATGTGAGTCTGAAATAAAACAAAGAAATTGAGAATATTAAGAGATATAAAAAAGCAATTGCACGTCTTATACTTTATACAAGGGAATTACCTGGTGAAAACCGCAATACGCTTCAGCTAGCGGCTTAGAATTTACTACTTCAATAGACACTGAAATCCCAATCATTTTTCTCAAGGATCAATTTTTCTATCGACAGCAATACTTTTTTCTAGTCTTAGGCAATATCACGTCAGACCAATATATGAAGCATACCTGACCATTCACCTGAGTACTTGATTCTTAATTAGTGGGTCACAGGTGAGAATACCGGTTAAGCCACCTGTTAGTATCATAAGTTTTCATATAATGTGTGGTTCACAGCCTGAGACTAGTAACGAATTTCAAGCTAACTGATATGGCTGTTAGAAACTGTAGTGTACTATGCCAGTTGCTACACAGTTAGTGAGAATCATTCAGGATTCATCTGTAAGCACAAAATAACATTTACTTTCTCTGATCACCAAATGATTACCATTAATTTTGACTTTAAACTACATCAAATTTTATTTCACGTCGCCGTCTCATTTTAAGGAATTTATTCAAGAACTCTTCATGAATCCACAGATGTTGAGCACAAGAAACTACTTTTGAACTAAACGGATTAATCTATTTGCTGACTGAGATCTCATTTTAGCAAGTTATGAAACTTTTGCGATAAACATTGCGAAGACATAGGTACATAAAAGGTTTCGAGACGAAAATTAGGTTCCATTTAGTCTTATTTACGGCCATCGATAAATCCCAGCTAACCGTTGGAAGTCGTGTCAGCGGACGTATTTTTGTGCAACAAAAACGTTAGACTTGACGAAAATTGTGAATACATAGCCAAAATATGTAGAGACTGGACGTAAAACTCTGCATAACACAGAAAAATAAATCGAGGACATTTCTTCCTAATAAATGTTAGTGATTCACGAAAAGCTTCACACCTTTTACTCATTTATTTATTTACTTGTTTAGTCATCTGTTCACTGTTTGGACACTTTTTGTATCACACGGATAACGACATGTCAGGTAAATTTTTCCAAAAAAAAGTTTTCTACCCTACAGTGACAGAACTGAGTTGTAGCAGCAAGCTAACCGTTACGAACACGGTCTAATGAGTGAAAACTCTTTTTAGAAATGTTAGTGGGACCCGTCCCAAAATATTCATCACTTTAAACCATATTTCTGAGTGAATAATCATTACCAACTGACAAGAAGAAAATTGCAGCTTTTTTATTCTTGACGTTAGAAAAAGAAAGCACTCAAAAGATACTTTCCTAAGGAATTCAGTTTACATCACTTTTCGCTGCAATCATGGACAGCTAGTTATCTGAGGAACTCAACTGGAGAGAAATAATAAGACATTAAATGAATCACTCAAATTGTTAGGAATGGCTTACTATGTGTTTTCTTGGATTTACGCTGCGAACAACTTGAGGATGACGAATCGGACTCTTCTGAGATTACTAAATCATAACCTTCTCCTAGCAACGGAGGGGAACAACGTCTTTTTGGGCTGTTTATTTTCTTTTTGTGTTCATAACTGTGAGAATTCTGACGGATATGTTTTCTTTTGTCAGTATGTCCCTCAGATAACCTAGGTGGATGATGATGCTTTGCATCTCCTGATTCGCTATGCTTTGGAACAATTTTGTGTTGACCGGGTACAAATTTGTCCTTTCTATATAACTGCCATTCTCGAGCGACCGACTGACTGAAATCCACATGAATACGCCTGTCATCAATAACAACTTTGTCCATTTTGAAATATGCATCTTCACAGTCAGCTTCTTTTTCAAATTCAATAAAGGCGTATTGAAGAGAAGCATTAGTGCGTTTATCCCTGATCACCTCACATGACTTAATCTCACCAAATCTACTGAAAATGATTTCCAAGTCCTCACTCGTAGTCACAGGATTAAGTTTGCATACAAATAATACATTGTTTGGTGGCTTCACGTCCGCATTTGGCAAGTCTCCTATCAATGTAAGAAGCTGAGTATGCGTTTTGATTTCTTCTTCTGCTTTGAGTTCTTCCAACCGTGTAGGTGAAAGTTCTTCTGTATTATCCAACTCTTCATCCTCTTCCAATCGAGTATCAAGCTATTAAAATGAAATAAGTACATAGAAAATTTATTCATGACGTACGTCTCATCAAAATTAAGAAGACTAATAACGTGGTTCATTAACTTTCAGTCTGATCAGAGATTTGATTAGTTTCAAGCTAACTGGTATCAGCTAGAGAACTAATGAAAACCAAGGGGTAGTGGATAGCTGTTTCGTCCTAGTTGTTATCCTTGGAAGGACGCACCCACAAGCCACCCGGGGGATAGGACCCAAAACCTTCAAGTTACAAAAAAAGCCAGTTGGTCATTCAGCTACTTGCTACAGAATACAACGGCTCACGAATTCTAACTCCCATCGATTTGAGGCATATAGCATCACAGCTGTGCGCTGATGAAGAGTTTCAAGACAGAACGAAACAGCTGTCCAGTAATTTTTTGTTTCTGACCTTTCTCTAGCTGATACCAATTATTGATCTAGGTTGAAATGGACAGTCAAGTAAATAAAGCTGATCTGATTTAATTAACAAACGACTATTTACAGGTAGTGGATTCATAAGAAGGCTGTATAGATTCAGATTCAGATGATAGGGATAGAAGGCTCTTGTGCCTGTGAAAAATATCTCTGCAGAAATCTAACTTCTCTTTGAAAGCGTTCACCGATGGAGCTGATACTACTGAATCAGGTAAGGAGTTCCAATCGTCGACCACTCTGTAAGAGAATCTAAATTCTCCACGTATTTTAATCGTCCTCGGTTTGAGCACATTTTTGCGGTGTCCCCGTAAATGTATCCTAGAAGGGGAGAAAAGTTAAGAAAGTTCAGTTCCTAAATCACCCTTAAGTATAAGGTATGCTAAAATTGAGTTGCCTCTCTTCTTTCGGTATGATAACGGGAAGAGATTTAAATGCTCCATTCTCTTATCATAAGGAAGATGTGAGATACCACCAACTAATTTTGTTCCTACTCTCTGTACTCTTTCCAGAATATGTGCCTCCTTTTTGAAGCATGTACTCGTCGCTTGTATGCAGTATTCTAGATGAGGTCTGACATATGTTGCGTAGAGTATTTGGAACATGCCCTCGTCTAATCATTTGAAAGCCCTTCGAAGTGCCCATAGCATTCGAAAAGCCTTAGCTGTGGCTGCATTGCAATCTGCAGTTGTTTTTAAATCATTCCTGACAATGATTCCTAGGTCCTTCTGTTCGTTAACATTAAGTACTTCTGTCCCTTAGGGAGTACGACGTATAAGACTTCTGACCTAAGTGCATTACCGCGTTTTTCCTAGAATTCATTTCCAAACCCCATAGGTGCGACCACTGAGGTAATTTATCTAGACTAGTTTGTATCGTACAACTATATGAGAATACCACAAAACATTCATTTAAAGTGTCTAAAGCAAGCATAATAATTTGATTTGAAATACAAATGTTGCTGAGCGTCGTTAACATCTCCCCAACGAAGTAATTTAATACGACAATGAGTCAGTAATATTGCAAACTGCACATGGTGCCTATTGTTTTTTTTATTACGTGCGGTTTTATAACTTTTGGATACTTAGATAAAATGTATACAAAATCAATCAATTAATCAGTAGTACACAATTTTATGCGAATTAGCTTGTTCTCTTGTTTACTATTTACGGTATCAAGCAGATCAAATACTGTGATCGGAATAACTTGGTTCACAAAGGAAACTACGGTGAAATTTCCGCACTTGAAATGAGTAGACTGCGAATCGTTGACCAGTTTGCAAATTATGAACGTGATTTGTGGGAATGTGTGACAGTTGCACTACCCTACCGCTTATGAAACAATAACCAATAACACTTTTGCATATCTCTCTCCGTTAACATGATCTCAGTTAAACACCTTGAAGGATAACAAATCCACTATTAATGATAACTTATTTGCATGGGGAGCTGTTGTATAAATTTTTAAGAGGCTCTAAAATGAGCGCAAGATGAAAGCGACATTCGACTAAACTGAATTATTCTATTGTCAGATATCTTGTTAACCTGGATCATATTTGGATTGTAACTGATAGTGACTCAACTATCTGCCAACGAGATTAAGCATAATGCTAACACGCGGTATTATGCATTCCACTGCGTTTGACATACCACGAAGACCGTTATCGATCATTTTATAAAGCATGCAGAGGGGAAAAATCGAACAAAATTTTATCCCAACCGCATATCCAAAACAGAAAGATGCAGTAGATAAGAATGCTCTGTAAAAAGTGTGACTGTCACGTGAAGTTATTACATCCGATAACCACAAAGGTGGAAAATGAACAAAAAGATTTTTAAGCACATATTAATGAAAATTTAACTCAACAACCAAAGGCATGTTTTTAATCAAGGGGATGACTCAAGTATCTTACTTGGATGATTACACCTTATTAGGTATAGCAAAATTGAAATTTGGCAATTTAAAAGAATGCACCACGGCTCCAATATTACAATAAGAGAAAACATACATGAGTCCTACTGAAACCTCTCGAATGTTGAAGGTGATTACAAGTGAATATATTTACTGGCACCAATTTTGAGTCATTTCACTGGATGTATCTAACTATTGGTGCCTTAACTCTGGGCTACATGAAGGCAGTGTATACCAACCAAATCACAGAGAGCTTACAAGTTAGTACTATTTGTTTTATTCCACCTAAAGAAATGATGGTTTGAATTGTACAATGAAGGGCATAGCTTTCTTAATCTTCGCTTGCACAAGTGTGGTATTTTAAGGTTCCAGGAAATCGTGTTAAATTTTTTCTTTTCACTAAAACACTAGCTGTGGAGAAAACCACTTCATTCGTGGTGACCATATTAGTATTAAACTAATGTTTTCAAAAATCCTATAGCATATTAAAGGAATTTAGGATCAGTGTTAAGGTAGAATACATATTACCATCATATCATTGGTCACTTGGGTTCTACGTGGAACATATGGAATATCTCAATTTCATTCTAATCTCTGAATTTATTTTAACCACAGCCGGGATCTTCAGAAAACGTTTCATTTTCTCTTCACATAATGGCAAGCGCAACACTCCCAGATACCCCTCCCCAACTGATAAAAAATTCCAATCTTAATGATTCAGTCCACTCCTTAACTTTATTCTACTCTTAAACTCACTATTAGCTACGTTCCACCTAACAAGAATAACTCAGAGGGTATGTCTACAATCGGAAACCTGGTTATATCTCTCAATGACTGTCAGATGGTTATCACAAATCCAAAATCCACCTATAGCTACACCGGTTCGAGTAGGCTAGGGTAGAGATTTGCAACTGAGACTCTATTTATCAAACCAACACACGTAAACAAAACCCATCACAGTTATTCGAAAAATCCTGCTACTAAGAAGAATGCAGGAGTGAAGCACTATGCAGTTATTAAGATCTGATTACGTAAGTGACGGCGTCACCAGTACGGTTACGAGCAGCGACTTATGCTCATAACGACACCTATGGAGTTACACGAACCAATAAAAAATATGCAAAAATATTATTTGGATCGTCTGAAAAAGTTAAAGGCATTTTACAATATTCAAGGAAACCTGTAACACGAAAGTCAAGATAGTATTGTAGAAATTGTCATGCTTTGCAAAGCTTTAATAACCACGGCACCCAAAGAAGTATGAAACATTACCGCTGATATATTCATTAATGCTGGTGAGCTAGGATAGTCTATTCTTTTGATATCAACAAAAGGATCATCCAGAACAAACGTGTGGTGTATTCTGACATTTCGGAAGGGCCGTCCATCTTTATCACAGTATACCTCATTGATCTTGTGGATGAAATCTATGCCTTCAGCAACCTACAAAACTCCATTACCACCGAAACTGATGATCACATACATAACCGAAAACTGTGTGCTTATCATCTAAATAGTTGAGGTCATCTGACAGTGTTATGAAAAATTGAGAGCCATGTTGTCCCGCACCGTTGTCAACCATTGAAATCAGGCCTTTTCTTGAGTGTGATATCTTTGGTTTCTTTTCAGCATCAAAAAATTTAGCCTGTTCACCGTATAAGTATCTGAAAAACGACCAACCACCCCGGCCTGTCCCACTAGGATCTCCGGATTGAGCCACTAAGTTTTTCTGTACACAGTGAAAAAGGCAGAAGTTGAAGTGTTTCATTTTGCAAAGTTTTATAAAGTTCATGCATGTCCTTGGCTTTTCTTCACAGTACAAATCAAATACAATCGTCCCTAACGAAGTTTCCACCAACACCGCCATTTTTTAAACTTTGCCCAAGGTCATCACTCAAATTAGCTCAAGGGTGGTGGCAAAGCACCCATGCAATTTGGCACGCCGTCGCTTTATGTTCGTATGTCCGTGCACAAACCCTGACAAGTTGAGTGATCGATGGTCCTCGCACTATTGTTTGGATCCCAAAATCTATTTCGTATTTGGACGATCAGTTAGGTGTTCCGATTTGTTTTCGGTCTACGCAGAACAAATGATGTAGGAGTTGTGGATATAAGAATTTGTGTTAGTACGCGTCGTACTTTCCGTAAATGTAAACATCCCCTTATCTCCTGAAGGAGAATATACCATGATAGTCATTCGACGTATGATATACGGGTCATCGTGTGTTTGAAAGGCGATTACCCTTTGAGATCTTTGTAGTATATGTATGTCATCTTACAGAACTATTAGGAGCAGTTTACGAATTCAGACCCAATGAATTGTTGGCACTGAAAATATCACTTGTTACTGCCATATTGGCTGCCGGCTTGGAACACCGGGCTACCCGGTCAACTCTCTTTTTAAAATAATTGCCCAAAATACTGACCAGTGGTACGTACATAGTGTCAGGCTAGTAGTAGTTTTAAAACGTGTATTTTGCTAGTGGAGAAACCCATTCAAATACATAAAAAAACAATCACCACTAAACTCGCTTCTGCACTGAAAGGAAAGCTTACAGACCATAGAGAAGACTCAGTGTCTACTAGGTTAATCATCCCGCTCTTCTGTAATTTTCAATCACTGGTCGCCTACCGAGTGTCTACATTATGTCGTATGAGACATGGATATCCTGCATTGCCTATGATGCTACTTAACAAATCACTACTTCAAATCTGAGCAACATGAAAATTTTGAATATTCGCAATGCATCCATGTAGAATAGGCCAAGGTCTTTTACCTAGCATTTTGAGCAGCCCAGTGATACCATCGCCCGCAAACATATTCGTTTGTCTGCCTTACCTGCCGAAGTTTCTTTTACCAGACCTTTATCAACAGCATCACATTTTCATACTTCTTGTACCACACAACAGGCTTGACACAATGCAACTCCCAACCCTGAGCAGAGCAGCTGTGTGCTTCAGAAGAGTCAAGTCGAACTTGTATATCTACCGCATCTGAATCCCAGCCTTTCACTGCACTTTAAAACTGTGTTTTTATAAACTTTTCCTCAAATGCAAAGAGAATTTACTCCAAAACGTAACATGTTTCATCCCTAGAAAATGGGGGCTAAACCACACAGACTGAACCGATAATACTACGGAGAGAATGATTTGTCGTCTCTTTTACGTATACAAAATATTCACCTTAAACTAAAAGAAAACTCCAATGACCTCTTCCCCCCAAAAGAAAATATGGCCCCTGAATGCAGTTTTACATGCACCGCAATTTGTAAGCTTAAACGTAGAAACATGACCTTGTAGAACTGATGTGCCATTCACTTTAGGAAATAGAGACTTAGTGATTGGGTACTGATCAGTAACCAGTGTAATGTGTCTAGTCCTATTTTCGGTGTAGACTGAATTCTATTAGTCAAGCTTGCTCTGTGGCCACTATGCTAGGTGGCTCGCCATCACAGTGCATCGTGAATTGTTGGTATTAGCACGAAACCTAGGTCCAAGGCTTCCTGCCGATTTCCGATTACAAAATTACCAGTCCATTTCAAATAATAGTGAATGGGAGATTGTTTTTTTTTGAAAGTTCAAACTATCCCCGTCCAGATTCGATCCCCCCAATAATATGGTGAGGACACTTCCTTCTTCTTCAGTTGTTCTTTATCTCACTGTCAACAGGCATTTACTCAGTTACATGGAAAACTATGCACACTACTCTAGATATAAGTCAGGATCCTATAATAATATATATATTCTTATCTATGTAGGGCACACCAGCTTTACAGACATGGATAAATATTATTTAAATTATATAAACTTGATTTATGGTGAAATTACACAGTTGCTGCCCATTTCGACACCAGTTTGTGGGTACAATCTGCTGACTAGTCATTCAGTGAGGCACATTAAGAAATGTAGAGATATTGTCTTCGCATTAACAAAACAACCAAGTATATGTTGGATGGATTACAAATATTTGGGAAAAAAATAAAGCTCCAAGTCACTTCCTCCACATAACTTTGGTGTGTGCGGCATCGTATCTTATTCTTGATTTGTATCAAAATTTGAAATAAGTGATTTATTTGTGTAATTTTATCGGCACTTTTGTCTTAACTAACACCAGGAATGCAATTTAATACTTGTTATTGTCAGACAGATTTGTTTTACTGTGCTCACGTTAGCCGAAACCGCCCTTTGTCAGTGCATGGTTGTTCCTTACCGTTAAGTTGATTAACACATAGAAAGCTATTTGTAGGCTATTTTAGATCATTGATACTGCTTGTATAGGATGCTGTACACCGTCGTGTTATAGTGACTGGATATTCCTAGGATGTCAAGTCATTACTGGCCAAACCTTGGGGTGATATACGAATAGGTGACTTCAGTTATGATAATAATAATAATATATTCTCATTTTGTAAATGAGGGACGCCAGTTTACAGGCATCATCAATATGATAAATCATATACACGATTAGCAATCATACTGAGTAATAATGGTTTAATAAAATACACATTTTTTCCTACCTGTGTAGGACACACCAAATATACAGGCATGGATAAGCATTAAGTAGATTACATAAATTTGGTTTATAGTTAAATTACATGGTTGCTGACGTTTTTGTCTTAGGTTTGTGGGAACAATATGATAACCAGTCATTCAATGAAGCTCATCAAGAAATATAGAAATATTGACTTAGCATTAACAAAAAACCCAAGTATGTTTTGGATGGATTAAAAATACTTGGGAAAAAATAAAGCTTGAAGTAATTCCTCAATATAACTTAGGTGTATACAAAACCGAATCTTATTTTTGATTTATATCCAAATTTGGTAATAATTAAAATAAGTGATACACTTGTATAGTTTTGTCAGCATTTTCATCGTAACATCACGAGTGAATTGTACCCAATGTAGAATAATGATAGTATATATTTTCTTATACATGGGCGTTTCGAAGAAAAGAAGGCTATTTTTACAGATACGGTAAGTTATGCTATAAGTTACAATCGTGACGTTTAATAGTGTATATTTCTTCCTGTTTATGCAGGAACATACCTATTGTACAGGCATGGATAAGTTATCATATAAATTACACATAATTTGATGTATGATGAATTTACAGTTTGGTTGTTCTTTCTGACATTAGAGTCAGTCGGAACTTTCCGCTATAAAGTCTGTTTGTGAAACACATAAAGAGATATAGAAATATTGTATTCGCATTAACAAAAACCCAGACATCAAATGAATTAATACAAATATCTGGGTAAAAAATGCTTGAATTCAATTCTCCTATATAACTTTGTTGTGAACAGCACCCTTGGCTTAAATTTTATGGATGTATTATGTTGAGATCAGTGATATATTTATTCCATTTTTTCAGCAGTCTTATCGTAGTTTTATAACAGGAAAGAAATTTGATCGTGGATGCGAGAACTAGATAAGGTCACGCTGGGTTGTTTTACTGCACTGTATTATAAATTAATACTTTTCCATTGGTATATGGGTATATTCCACAACTATAATGCAGGTTGCGTCTTGAGGGAAGTTAATACGTAATTCAGGAAGGAATTGTAAGGACCAATAGTGTTTGCAGATCACTTGTCATCGTAAATGGTCAAATATCCACATACTTCATTCTCATTCAAAAAGTCAAATGGAAGCTAAAATGGTGAGACAAAAAAGAAGACAAACAACAGCAACGCAAAAGAAAGCAACGGGAGTCCTTAAGGAGTGATTAAATAAAAGGTAAACATGTATATTCTGTTTAGTAACTATGGTTATTTTTGTACACAAACTAACTAGTCCCGTTATGCTAACTTTTATATTATGTGTAAACTAATATTACTGTCCTGTGTAGAAATGTTTATCATCTAGTTCCAATAATATTAAATTTATAATTGTAGTTTGTTGTAACTACACGTTTAAAGAACTTAAAATATCTATGTAGGGTGGAAAAGAGGGTGTAAGAGTCAAACGTAGAAGTGCATTGTCATCTTTGAGCAGTCTGGTGACTGAGGAGATGAACACTGGAAGTGTGTTTGCATCGCGCACATTAGCTGGTAGTCTATTCCAAATGACTGAAAACTTATTTAAGAAAAAGTTGTACCGCACGTAAGTCTGACAGTGCCCTATAGCAGCTAGGTTGTGATGATTTCTAAGATTGTAACTGATGACAGCGGTAGGTTTAGTTATTGGCTCGGAGGAATGCAAGAGAAGATTAGTTAGCTTATAGTAAAAGATAAGGTTTAGCTTAAGACGTCTTTTCCAGAGGGGTTCTAATCTTAGTCTTCGCATCGCTCATGGTATTCCAGACCACTTTCTAAACCAAGAGTTCTTGAGGTAAACTGCCGTTGCACTCCCTCTAATTTAAGCTTGTCATTTTGTCTTAGTCCGCTAAGAATAAACGGGCAGTATTCTAAGATAGGTCGGACACATACTTTGTATAATAAAACCCTAGTTTCACAACAAAAGAAATTGCGTGTTATGCATCCTATCAGCCTTCGCGTTTTACGTCTGGCATAATCAGTCTGTTCAGCGAACGTTAGGTTACTAGAGTATCTAATACCGAGATCTACGACTGAGTTGAGCTTAGCTAGTTTTCGCCCATTTATTTCAAGAGTTAGATCAAGGTTACTGTTGCCCATACAAATCCAGCCGCATTTGTCAATGTTAAAATTTAGACAGGATTCAGCACACCATGTTGCGAGATTACTTAGTTCAAGATGTATTTTAGTAACCATATCGCTTAATTCATGAGTGTAGCAGGAGTAGACGACTTTGAGGTCGTCAGCATATAGGAATGGTTTACCTGAGGTGAAGCACTTGCAAATGCTGTTAATGTAGACTGTGAATAAAAGTGGACCTAGGACACTACCTTGCACGACCCCACTTGAGATCTGCCTAGGATGAGACAATACAGATCCAACTTTGGTTATTTGTACCCTGTTGCTTAGAAATGATTTTAACCAGTTCAGTAATGGGTTGCGAATTCCACAAGAGTACAGCTTCTCAAAGAGAATACTGTGAGATACCATGTCAAATGCCCTAGATATATCGAAGTAGAGAACAACGACTAGCTTACGTGCTTCGCGACTACTAGTGATGCAGTTGAAAAAGTCGAAGTGGCAAGTAACGCAGGATCTATTTTTGAGAAATCCGTGTTGAGACCTTGTAACAAGATCTTCCCTAATTAGGTAGTCTGACAATTGATCTTTTACAACTTTCTCCATGATTCGTGAGATAACTGGGGTTATATTTATGGGTCTGTAATTGCGGACGTTTGCCCTATCACCAGATTTGTAATGTGGAATTATGAAGCTAGTTTTCCACTCACTAGGGTAAGTGCCAGTGTCCATAGATATTGAGAAGAATTTAAGAAGTAACAAGGGTATATCACACCCACTGTTTTTGAAAATTATCGAAGCGAGGCCATCCGGTCCCGTACTAGTGGAAGGTTTAAGGCTTTTAATTGCTTGTACTATTAA